GGCCGGCCGCGTGCGAAACGAATGGTTAGGCAAATACTGGCGACCGCATTACTTGGCCCCTGGTTAGTACTATTGGACTTACAAGAAGGGCATTAACTAACGAACATAAAGGGCGTTACTAGTGTTACACTGAACGGCGTTGTAGGGTGGGAATCTCTCCAGCTTCATGAGGTTCTGGTTCAAATCTAAGCCCAGAGACCGGCTACTTTGACTAAAGGTTTTTGTCGTTTTTCTCAGTCCCGTCAGAAAAAAAAAAAAAAGAAACCGGGACAGGAATTCATATTAGGCAGGGACCGCTTCCTTACATATCTGTTCCAATTTATTATTATTCGCCAGCTTATCATTCTATGCGACAATCTGAGCAACTGAAAGCGTAGCCAACAAACTAACTGAAACTAACTTCATGGTGCTGAGCCCTTCTTGAGAAGTCTCCAGTTGTGCAGCTACTCAAGAACTGTTTTATGGAACCCAAAGGCTCATCACTGTGCTCACAAGAGCCCTCCACTGCTCCCTATCCTGAGCCAGATGAATCCAGTCCATACCATTCCATTCTAAGATCTACTTTAATATCATCCAATGGGCCAGATTCCTGAATCGCGTGTAATCGCTGCAGAGATGATGGAACTGCCCGCCTTTATGGAACGAGATGTTCATTTGCGCGTTCACAAGAGCACACGAATTAACCGACAAATCCTAACTCACGTCAATCCAATCTACACCCACACACTGTATTTCTTTAGGCACCATTTTCAAGATTATTCTTCCATCTACACCTAGGTCTCGGAACTGGTTTTTTGCCACTGTATCACTGAGCTCAAGAACATTCATGTTTACAGCAGCGTGACAAGACTAGCGAACATCTGTACGCATGCTCCGCTTCCTGCATGCAATAAGCCCTGCTTCACGATCGTTCACAGTGACTGGCACGTGCATCCGCCAGTAAAACAACACAGGTGAGCCTGAATCAGTGGTGATCCTGCGTACCTGCCATGCCTCGAAACACTGCCAGAAATCATTAACCCTGGAGTTCTGAAACTATTGAGATACCTAAACAACTATACAGCCTCTCTGCACCCACAGCAAGCTATAAAATGTCTGTGTGCAGCTAAAAAAAGTGCTGTTCTGCACACTGCTGCATGTTCCAAAGCTTTACAGCCCTTCTACATCTGCAAGGTGTAAAATGTTCCAGTACAGTTACGAGAAAACTGGCGGAATTTTCCGCTGGCTGCAGGCACATTCACTGACAGCATCTATATTGGGTCCTTAGGTATATAAAAAGGCTAATTTGTCCTTATGCTAAACTGATTCAGTTATTCAGTATAGAGGGGGTGGGTTTCCCCATGCACCGCGACTAACAGTCTATTGTACGTCCCCCTTTTAATTTCTACTGTCGCCATACCCTACCGATACTGGTGCCCGCTATCTCCCCATTCTGCCAGCGAGGTCGGCCCTCTACTGGCAGTGGTACCTAATAACTCTCCCCCTTTCTGTCAGCGAGGTCGGCCCTCTACTGGCATTGGTACCCGATAACTTCCCCCTCTACCGAAGGCATTGGAAACTACTTGGGCGGGAAACATTTTGCTTAATTTTGCTCAGAGGTCTCCTTGAGACATGAGGATCTTTTACGTGCCGTAAATCTACGACACAGGACCCACGGCTTAAAGTCCCTCCCGGAGGACTTGTTCCCTGAATTTTTCCGCCCTTAAAAATTACACGACCTCCGCCGGGTTTGAACCCGCGTACCTTGAGTCATGAGGTGGGAACGTTAGCCCTAGACTACGGAGGCCGCTTGCTTAACTGATTACTCATGTAATGAGAGAGAGACCGCCTCTGTGGTCTAGTGGTCAGAGTTCCTGGCTACAGATTCAGAGGTTCGGGTTCGATTCCCGGCGCTACCAGATATTCTGAGAAGTAATGGGTCTTAAACGGGGTCCATTCAGCCTCGTGAGGATACCTGTGGAGCTATTTCAAGGAAATAGTGGCTCCGGTCTAGAAAACCGAAATCAACGGTCGTGAGAATTCGCTGTGCTGACCACGCGACGCCCTCTATCCGCTAAAGTTGGCACTAACTTCGCCGACAAGCGGCGATCACTCGGTTGGTATAGTTGGCTTGCGGACTAAAACCATATTTATAAAAATAATAAAGACAGATATAGGAATGTTAGGTGGGTCCTTTGTCACCACGGCATAACGCGTCCTCAGGCTGGGGATGGAGGAAACAGCCTCCAGATATGGAGGGTACCAGTGAATATATTGAATAAGCAGTCGCGGACAGCAGTCAAGAGGTGGTCCTCCAGCTTGGGGGTTGGGAGTGGGGCTAAAAACTCCTCATCGTAAAAAATAAGCGGAGTCATGCGAAGACGGCAATGAACTTTCGGGTTCCATAAAATGTTTGGAAGTGCTTGAGTAGCTGCGCAACTGGCGGTGATGTCCTCTGTCCCTGCTTGCAAGATCTCTTTACAGGCAACCAGAATTCTGAAAGCTTCCCACAACGTCCAAGCCATCGGCGGCCACATGGACCAGTTCCATATGCTGGACAATATGGCGGAAAGGAGAATCCTCTTTTTTGGATCAGCAACAAACCTCACATAACATCCGATCCCGCCAGCGCCACCACAATAGATACTCAAATAATCACGAATATAAATATATGCATGTTTGTATCCATGTGCGTACGTACAGACATGCATTCTCTTCGGAAATGTTACACACAACTCTGTAAGATTTGAGGTTTTCACGGCGGTGACTATGAAGAAAGCAGTCTTTTGGGATGTGGCGCCGTGTAGATATTGTTTTAACCGATGTTTCGGAGGACGTATCGCCTCCATCTTCAGGGAAGACAAGAAATCCGTGAGCGAACCAGCTGAGCAGGTACAACAGACTGAGTTACACACAACTGTTTGGTGCTCATCCAAAATATGGTGTAAAAATAAATACGTGAACTTTTTTCACACAAAGCAACGGCCAGATAGGGACTGACGTTAGGGTTCTCGTATTTAATGCCGGACTACTGGCTACAGGCGGGAAGTTCGCGGGTTCAAGTCCCGATGAGGTCATTGGATTTTTTTTTTCAATTGACCTAATCCTTCCAGCCGCACTATGGCCCTGGGTTCTACTCAGACTCTAACAAAAATGAGTACCAGGAATTAATTAAATAATTTCCCTGGGGAGTAAAGCGCGGCCGGCGCGTAAGGTTGACAACCTTACCGCCAATTTGGAGCCGATTGTCTAGATAATGTGGGAGTAAGGCTAGGAACACACACACAGCGACATCGGTCGTACGACGTCCGTACGGTTCATGTCGCATTAAGTAGTAGAATATAAAGTGTAGTGTTAGCTTTCATACGTGACGACATGCGACATCTACCGTATGACAGTCTGAGAGCAAAGAAATGTATTTGGTCGCTCTAAAGTGAAAAGGAGGTCGTACGGCAAAAAATTGTACATTTTTCCGTACGACCGATGTCGCTGTGTGTGTTCCTAGCCTAACTATTGGATGGCCTCATTAGACGGAATTAGAAAAAAAAAACCTATTTATATACAGTTTCGCTTATGAAGCGATTTTTGAATTTACTGTTTAACGAATTGCGATATCAGTAAATGGAACTATACAGCGTCAAACGACAATCATAGTAAATCATGCATGGGTTAAGGATGTGGAAGGAAGCTGCCATGTCCTATTTGAGGCACTAACCCAACTATTTGCATGGAGGGACTGAGGAAATCTGAGTCATGATAGCCGGGGCTCTGGGCTGAAACAAGGCCCTCCAGAACGCGAGGCAGGAGCATAAACTGTAAAGCTTGCCAAAGCGATTCTGGTTTTGCGAGAAAGAAAAGAAGTTGACACAGTACAATTGAAAGAAAAAGCGTTTACAGAATGGGCGTGCCCACTGAGAGCCGTGGCGCGTACTGCGCAAGTACCGGTATAGAAATCATTCATCTTTCCAGTCTACTTGCTGAATTCGAATCACGTGCTTCTCTTCTTGCAACGTCTGGGACGGCTTTAGCCTCGATCAGTGGCACCGCGTAACGCTGGTCTGATTAAAACATTCGAAGCTCCCAGTTCATGCATTCGAACTAAACACTCCTATCTCACTGGTAATAAACAAGAGAGGCGAATGCTACGCTTTCTCCTGGCTTCATTGCAGACAAAAAATACAGACTGCATTCTGTAAGTGTGTGGTGTCCTCAGAAACGTCCGTCATAAAGTACGTTCGTTACAACGGACGCATTTTGTGCGCTCGTGAGGTGAATATATTAACCTGAGACAGTAAGTGACAGGACGCTCAAGCAAACTGCATAACGAGCCCACGGTACCCACTGGATGACATGTCCACAGACGTTCTGCACGCTTTGGAAGGGAAAAAATAAATTCCTTTGCCTCTTCCGTGAATCGAACTCAGATTCATCGGTCGTCCGGTCCGTAGCCTACTCACTATACTCAAAAGAACTATCCCGGTTACCTGGTGCTAAGACGAACCGGAAGGGGTTGTCCAGCGGTAACGTTCTGGACTTGTCTTCGAGCGGTTCTCGGTTCGAACCTCGGTCGAGACTCCGGCTATCCTGACTGAGGGTTTTTGTGTTTCTTTTCCTAGTCCCTCCGAGTGAATACTGGGTGAGCGCCGCATCACCTTCCAAATCCTTTCCAATCCATAATTCCATTTACCTACCACTGTTACCATAGACACCAGGAGCCGGGATAGCGTAGTTGGTATAGCGTCTGGCTACGGGGTGGACGACCGAGAGGTCGGAGTTCGAGTCCCGGTAGAGTCGACAATTTTCACTTCTCCACGTCGTCCACACCGGCTCTGGGGTCCACCAAACCTCCTATACAATGGGTACCGGAAGAAAATGTGGATCTATATATCCACTCCCCCATACACCTTCATGGCGAAGTGCTTAATTAGTTTAGCACAGGGACAACAGACACCACAACATCTGGAGTGAGAGGCTTGCTGATGCACTAATCCAAGCCCCTGACTAGCACAACGTTCACTTACCGGAAGAGAGTGGACTGCATAGAGGTGATACTCGTCGTGGTGTGGGTGTTTCCATAGCTAGGCAGCACTTCCCTCAGTATGTAATCCTCTATAAACTGCAGCGACCTTCCGGACGCAGTATAATCGCAGTACACAACTGAAACAAACAAGAGATCGCATCCAGATTTCACGAAACAAAGCGTCTCCTTTATGCAGCTGTAAGCTGAGATGTTTAGCATTTAGGGAGTCTGTTCTGGAACCAAACTAAAATACCACTGGCACATTGGGGGGGGGGGGTAAAAAAAACTATATCTCCGGTTTTGAAGGTTCCCAGGCAGTGCCCGCTTGTCCTTCTGGTAAAGATGGGGCATATGATCGGATTTGTTTTTGTTTTTGTTTTTGCTAACGTTGGGAGGGCTATATTAAGGCGAAATTTTGATGTTAACAATGGGAGGGCTGCATGTGAGGCATGCAGTGCAACGTGGAATTTGGGTACCAACTCAGCATTTGCTCTAGTACCGAGGAAAACCACGGAAAACCTTGGTCGAGCTGGCCGGTCTCAGGACCTTCCGGATGCAAACTGACTTCCAGCCAGCAGTCCGGCTTAAATACGCGAACCGTAACATTAGACCCTGTCTGTGCTGTTGCTTTATTTTAAAAGTTTACACACGTGTCCCTACAGTTTTTTTCTTTTGAATACTTTGGATGAGCAGCAAACATTTGTGTATCACATTTGCAAAGGGTTGTAACCGTTGAAGTATTGATAATTTAAATCTCTGTTGTGGAGGGGCAAAGGTTGAACCTTTCATGTCCCTAATATGCAACTGCGTTTGTACCTCACAGGAAGCACATTACGTCCCCGCTACAGAGCCCAACCGGTTAATGTTGTTTAGGGAAACAGTCGCTGTTTACTGTGAGAACCATAGGGAACACACAAATACACTGTGTAGGCAGAATGCAGAGTTTTAGTGTGTTAACCTTTTAAATCCCAGTGGTTACTATACGTACGAGTATAACATATTTATATACTGTGCATTCTGCCCACACAGTGTATTTGTATGTTCCATATGATTCTTTCAGAACAGCTGTTACTTCCCTAAACAGCATTAACCGGTTGGGTGTTGTTATGGAGACGTAATGTGTTTCCTGTAAGGTACGAACTGAACTGGCATATATATATATATATATATATCCGAAATTGACGGCCGTGGGGATTCGTTGCGTTGTCCACGCAACACCCTCTATCCACTAAACTTGGCACTAACTTCGCCGACAAACGGCGGTCGCTCGGTTGGTATAGTTCACTTGCGGACTAGAAGTACGTAGTTTTGTTTACATATACATGTTTATATAAACAAGCGACTGCCGTTTGTCGGCGAAGTTAGTGCCATATATACGTATACATACACACACACGCACGCACACGCACATATATATATACGATAATTTGAAAACACTGTTTCCTTCTTCACACAACAACAGATCCCTGGTAAGACCCCGCTCTCTCTTACCATTCCATTTCCCCACCTGTGACGATAAACCAACGTGTCTCTTAAAAGGGTCGTTTTTGTCCATTTCTCCCACTGGCTCGGACCGTGTTCCTTTCCAGCTCCTCTCCTTGCGTCCGATTGCCGCCTTCTTTGTAACTTGCCTATATAAACATATTCCTGACCCTACACTCTTCAATCCTGAAGATGGAGGCAGCATGTTCATCCAAAATGTCGCCATCCGCCTAAAAGACTGCCCTGTGTCACCCCCCCCCCACAAGAAAGACGCACAGGGACAATGTGGCGACGTACTGTGTAACGAATCGAAATGTTTGTGACGTCACTGTAATCAAAGTACATACGGCGCTGAAAATAGTCTAGACACGGTATCGGGTTAACCCTTGCCCTTCTAGGCACGCGGAAGAGAGAATGTGGGTGCAACGCCTCCATAATCCTCGTGGTAGGGGAAGCCCCACGCACTGTTAAGCTTGATACGTAGCTGGAGGGGCTTGCTTCACATCCCAGCAGCTTTATCCCTGTGCCAGAAGTCCCTGATACGCACTGGATAGAGGGTTACGCGGGATCCAAGGGCGGTCTAGGCGTAGTGTTGGAAAAAATCCATACCCTTACCTGGAATCAAACTCTGGTCCTGCAGCACCGTAGCCTATTACTACACTGAGTTATCCCGATTCATCATAAACCCTTTAAAGTGCAGACGTAAGTATATGTACCACTTAAGGCCGCGCCATAGCTCAAGCGGTTAGTCGCTGGCTTCTCACCGCGGGGCCCGGGTTCGATCCCGGGTCTGGTCAAGTGGGATTTGTGGTGGACAAAGTGGCGATGGGGCGGGTTTTCTCGGAGTACTTCGGTTTCCTCTGCCAATCTTCATTCCACCAAATTCTCCATCATCATAAGCACCCGGGGCAGGCTACAATAGGCCAATCAGTGGCCGCCGTGCCCAGTGGACCCAGTTGGACTCCACACCCCAATAAGCGAATTTAGAAAAAAAAAGTACCACTTGGTTTAACATAAAACATCTTCAGTTTTCCTACACAGCGTATTTACATGTCCCGTACGATTCTCATAACAGTGATTACTTCTCTAAGCAGTATTAACCGGCTGGTCTCTGTGAGGGATACGGAGTGTTTGCTCCTGCCGGGAACCGAACCCCGACCGTCCAGCCCGTATCCCGTTGCTGTATAGCAACTCCTGGCTCTCGGAATCAACATCAAATCTGCGTAAACAGTGACTAGAAAGAAAACAGAGTACACCAAATAAATGTTCCGTGTGTTACGAACTGCACACATCGTCTCAAGGTTAGGCGTTTGTCTATTCTTATCCAGAATTTTGCAAAAACACATGCAGCTGGAGTTGAACGCCAGCTTTGTTCGTTACATACTCTTCGGCCTCCCACGGCACGTAAATGTTTGGCTTTCAGGTTCTCACAGCAATGACCATGAGGAGTACTGGGACGTGACGCCGTGCAGTTGCCCAACGTACTGTCTCCATCTCAAAGGTCGAACACACCGTTTTTCCGGTTGTTTTTGGCTTACCATTTGACCCTGAAGACGGAAGCAGTAAGTTCTTCCGAAACGTAGGTGAATTTGTACTACACGGCTTTCAAGTAATGGTCCTATGGCATGTGATACCGTATAGTCTGGTAGACATGTATCAACATTTGTAAGAAACCCGTTGGGTCGAACAACTCCAGAACAGACGGAAGCGACAGGTCACTCCAAAACGTCGGAACCGATATCTACCAGACTACACGGTGTCAAATTCCAGAGGATCATAATTCGTATGTCCAACTTGTAAGCCATCCATGAATATGCCCGTCCACTCCTGCACCCAACCACTATAACACTACACAACTTCCAGAAAACCAGGTCATTCAGAACTTAAAACAATTGAATGACGTTTGCTGTAACTGGGAATGGCTGAAGGGAACTTGGCGTTTGAACTGAAATGTCACAGAGGGACGTTAACCCCAGGCGATCAAAGCGCATCGCGTGTCTTTGTACTTGAAGAGAGCCCATATCACTTGACACGAATGCCTCAGACTACTACGACGCAGGCAGTTTTGGCATCACAACATATGATGGCTTAGAAAACGGCGCTGAGGGAGGATGTGATAAAGGTAAAAGGGCAAAGCTGTCCCTGTGATTAACTAATTAAATACTACGCCATGAAGGCGTATGGGGGAGTGGATGTATAGATCCACATTTTCTTGACCTTGGCACTAGTTGGATGTGAGTGGTCCCCGGTACCCATTGTATAGAAGACTGGGTGGGGCCCAGAGCCGGCCTGGACGACTTGGAGAAGAGAAAACTCTAGACCTTACCTGGACTCAAACTCCGTCCAGCCCGTAGCCAGGCGCTATAAGGGTAGCAGTAGGAATTACAGAATGGGGAGCCTCTAACTTGTACTGTACACCAAAAGTACCCAGGTGAGAAGAGCTGGTCATTTAGCATTCAATGGGACAGACAAGAAATCCATACAGATTTTTACCCGAGAAACCCGAAAGAAAGAAACCATTCGAGAGACCTACAGTGAAGATGGGAGAATATGCAGTGCTATCGGAAAGTTCCCGGACTATGTCAAAAAGGAAATGCTGGCTTAACTTACTCAATTTTAACTGCTATTTTCTCCAAAACAGTCTCCTTGGGAAGGTATACAGCGATCCCATCGTTTTCTTTTTCCAAGCTTCAAAGGCACCGTGGAAGTCATCTTCCTTAAAGCTGACGAGTACCGTTTGCGATTCCCTTTGGATGTCAAACGCTGTTTCAAAACGTCGTCTCTTCAGTTTCATTTTCAATTTGGGAAACAGAGCGAAATCACAGGGGGCTAAGTCCGGTGAATAGGGAGGATGAGGAACGATAACCACGTTGTTAGTCACGAACTCTGGTTTTCAGGAACGTGTGGCCGGGCGCGTTGTGGTGGTGAAGGAGTAGTGCGGCGCAAGTTCAAATTTTCTGTTAAGATCTCCTGACAAACTCCACAACTGATCCCAACGGTGTCTGCAAGCTCATGAGACTGTTCGGCGACGGTCTTCGTTCCTAAGTTCTTGAAATTTTTCAACATTTTCTGTCCTTCTGCTGGTGCTTGGTCACCCCGAACGTTTGTCATCTTCAACTGACACTCGACCACTCTTAAAACATGAATGCCAATCAAAAACCGCTCTCCGGCTTAAAGTATGTTCTCCAAAAGCCTCACGAAGCATTGCAAGGGTTTCAGTAGTGGATTTACCGAGCTTCACGCAAATCTCGATGCAGACACGTTGCTCGATTTTGCCATCCATTGCAGACAAAACGAAACATGAAGTCGAAAAAGCACTCGTGTAAAACAATGCGTGTTTACAGAATGGTGTCACGTGGTAGACTCACGCAATAGACTTGCGGAAGTGTGACCTTGGCCTCCCCCTCTCATATTCTTTCACCGAGGCAGTTACAATAATAACAATCCGGGAACTTTCCCATACAACCTCGTAATATTAAAATGTATCTTAAAGGATGTAAAGTAAAAAAAGTAAAGCTATCCCTGCACCAGGCCGTGAAGGCCCATAGGGCTGGGAGACGCTGAGGGTCCCACATTATCTAGACAATCCGGCTCAAAGATGGCGGTAAGGTTGTCAGCCCTAGGCACCGGCCGCGCTTTCCTCCCCAGGAAAATT